CACAGCTGAGACTTGGACTTATGACCACAAGAAAGCAACCTTAATATAGGACAATCATTACAACAGATCATGTAAACATAAAACATTCTAATTACAGCTGAGACTTGGACTTATGACCACAAGAAAGCACCCTTGATATAGGACAATCACTACAACAGGTCATGTAAACATAAAACATTCTAATCACAGCTGAGACTTGGACTTATGACCACAAGAAAGCAACCTTAATATAGGACAATCACTACAACAGATCGTGTAAACTTAAGACATTCTAATCACTGCAGATAATATGAGACATATGACCACAAGAAAACATCCTGAAAATGGGGCAATCATTACTGCAGCATATTCTGTAAACACAGGACACCATAATCCTGAAGACTAGGGATACAACACCCCAGCAAAACATAGTGAACATGGGATCCTGTAAAATGTTGTTCAGCACTTCACAAAGGAATGATAATTATGGCTTTCTCGAAAACAATCACTGAAGATTATAGAAAAAGGATAAACATTTAGAATTCACCTTATATTATTAATGACTACAGGGTTCGGGTAAATTATCACTACGAGCTTTTAATGCCTTTATTATCAGCCAATCTCTAGAGAAAGACTGAGGTTATTTTTTTACATTAAAGATAGCTTTCTTGGAACATAACATCTTTATTTACATGTCTGTATTAACAGCTAACTTTACATGTATTTTCAGGAAGGTATGTTAACACAGATATAGTTTAAAAACCAATCATGATAAATCACTTGTATATGCTGATACAAAAATACTGCCTGTAGGTTCGTGAATCGCACAAGAGTCAATAATTTGTATCACAGACACAGTAGTTTCTACCGAGACTTTAGAACTGGACAAGTACTCTATTAGAATGATTTAAAAAAAAAACGAGTGTTCCACTGCTTTTTGTACCTGCATCTATTAGACACACTCACACACAAAGTCTAAAACATATTGACTTTCTCGACTTTTATGTTGACACGATGTTTTCTAAGCAGCATTCTCGGTGCGTTCTTCACGTACTATATCTACAGGGAGTATCTGGAAAGTCTGTTGCGATGAGGTCCCTGTTGGGCTGTTCAGTGTTATATTTTCAAAACTAAGAAGCTGTGTTAACACCTGCCTCAAGGCTGCAAGTCCTCGACAGGCAATTTCTGAATCTTGGTACCACTGACGAGCTTTTTCCTCATTTTGACCATTAGGCACTTCAACAATCAGCCCTTCCTGAGGCAAATACAGAAGCACATTGTTAGAATCAGACCGAGAGTCAGCTAACACGCCCAGTGCCTGGGAAGACTTCGGTTCACCAGACACAAGTAACTCTGATACTGGGATTGCCACTACAGCCTCCTGCTGCTGGGTCGGTTCTGAGGAGTTTGCGGCAGAAGTGGCCAGTAAAACTTGCAAGTGGCAGTTGGGGTCTGCCATGGCTTCTGCAGTTGGGGTAACACCTTGGATGTGATTTAATGTGTTTCCTAAACCAGCCAAGTTTATATCTCGTAAAACAAGCGTATGTGCCGATTGATCAGGCTGCGTCTCCACATTTAGGGATGGTGCTAAAACTGTTTGAAGAACAGTTCCCTGGTTAGGAAGAGAGCTGTTGGCAGGAACTATTACTGTCTGTACTTGCTGGCTAGACTCTGCAATACTGTCATTAACAGGCAACAAAACTGTCTGAAGCTGTTGGATATTGTTTCCTCCACCATTACTAGGAACTAGGAGGGTTTGAACTTGTCTCCCAGCTTCAAGTACTGAGCTACTATCTGACAAAATAACTGTTTGAAGTTGTCCTCTGGGATTTAATGAAGAGTTGGCCATGGGGAGAAGCAGAGTCTGAACATGGTCATTGTTCACTGGGATTGGCACTACTGTCTGCATGTCAGGAGTTACCACATGGTACTGTTCACCTGGCAGAGCTTCAATATCACGGCCACCGGCCTCAGTGGGAGGGACAGAAACAAGAGTTGCCCCTTGGACTGAGAGGTTGGGTAGCAGAAGAGTTCGAACTTGGCTGCTACCTGGAAGGGTAAAGAGGGTTTGAACGTGACCTGTGCCCGGTTGTTGTACAAGCATTGGAACTTGATTTAAGTTCAGAGTAAGTACTCCAGGAGGAGCCATTATTCTCCCTCTATGCACATCTTTCTAATAATAGTCTAGCAGTAAATATCCTGTGGAATAACAACAACATTACAATCTAAACAAAAAAAAATAATAATAATAAACAGGTTAGAATAAAATGTTGTATTTCAATACTCATTAATGTAAACACAAGTAATGATAATAAAAATGTTCAAAATTACACGGTACAAATCTGAAATCCATCCTCATCTTCAACAATAAAATGTTTTCCACTTTTTAATTAAAAAAAAAAATCTTAAATAAAATGTAAATTATCAACACATCCAATATTTTAAAACAGTAGTTTTACAAGTTAGGATGTAGGCTCGTTTTACCAACCTCTCGATCATCTTAATAAACATTAAAATGTTGTGTCGAGTCTCCTATTCTGATAAATGAAGATATTAGTCAAAAAAATATTTTTATGTTAAAACAATGCTTTATTGCATTGTTCATAAAACAGACCACCACAAGTAACTACAACAGTTTGTTTAGAAGAATATATATAACTAAATTTTTCTTTAAAGTATAATTACAGTAGTTTATAAGTTCATAAGAAGTAATGTGATTTATAGTATTGTACAAAACATAGAGAAATTTAGACTCAAACGTTATAAAAGTTTATACTGCCCCGTGGAAATGAACTAAAAAAATACAGTTGGTAAACATTTTTACAAGCCCATTTTTGTGTTCTAAACTACGATGCATCTAACTGCTAGCTGGATCTGTAAAATGTCGCTATTTTTTTTTTTTTATAGTTTAAATGAGTATGATAAATTGTAACAATTCTTAATAT